GGGGAGGGACAGAAAGGGAGGGGGGAGGGAATGGTAAGCAGCAAGGGAGGAGGAGGGAGTGGGGAGGGAGTGGTGAGCAGCAAGGGAGGAGGAGAGAGTAAGGGAGGGAGGAGGGAGGAGGAGGGAGTAAGGGAGGGGGGAGGGAGTGGTGAGTAATGGTGAGGGGAGGGAGTGGTGAGTAATGGAGGGGGTAGGGGATGGTGGGCATTGACTGATAGAGGGGGAGGGAATGGTGATGCTGGGCCCTCATCCCCATTCGCACATGGTCGTTGGGGCACATCGTTGACGCATCATTGCATTGTGTCGTGTCGCCGTCCTCGCATCACGTGTTTTGTCATCGTCCTCACGTGTCATGTCGTCATCCTTGTGTGTTGTGTTGTTGTTGTTGTGTCGTGGGTTGCCATTGCTGTTCATGGGGTGTTGGTGGGCGGTTGTGGCCATTTATGGGTGCCAGTGGGCATTGTGGGCTGTTGTCCCCCTTTGTTGTCATGTCGTTGACATGTCATCATGTTGTCGTCGTCGTGTTGTCGTGTTGTCTTTGTTGTGTCATCGTATCGTCGTGCCATCTGCGTCGCGTGTCGTTGTGGGTTTGTGGGCTGTCGTGGCCGTTGGTGGGTGCTGGTGGGCATGGTGGGCCGCGTCTCATTGTCTGTTGTTGGGTCAGATGAGGTAGGTTGGGGTGGGGTTGCTCACCAATGAACAACGATGAACGACAAATCAATCAGATTCATCGTTTGCCATTTGGTTGCCATGTCGATGTTGGTGATGTGGCACCTGGAACCTGTGTCAGAGGATGAAAAGGGTGGGGATGGGTACTACTTTGGGTAGACGACATCGCTGTGCGTCGTCGCTGTCCGACGATGCTGGATTGTCATCATCACTGAGGATGGATGATGGCCAAATCAAGCATCGGCGATTGCCGATGACCGTTCTAGGAAAGCAGTCAAACAGTACGTATGTATAGTACAAAGTACTTACTTTTATCAAAGGTATCTTGGTGCAGCTGGGCACCATTGGTGGAAAGGGAGTGGAAGAGTGTGTGGGTGCCATATAAACAATGGGAAATGGGAGTTGAAGAGTGTGTGGGTGCCACACGTGGATGGGCAAGGTAATTGGTAAAAGAGGGTGGGGAAGCGGGGTGGAGGGTGTGTGGGTGTTGTATGCGAGCTGGTAATGGATCGTGGTGCTGCCGAATTGGTCAGTAGGTGCTAAAATCGAGGGGGGCCCAACAGGGTTTCAGACCTGTTGTTAACGTTGTCAGTGGGTGGTGAGATGGAGATAGCAACATGTGACTTACCTGTGGGACCCATAAACATAGTTCTACACCGAAACGAGGGACAGAGGGTGGTGATGGGGGGAGAAGAGGAAGGGTGGGAAGAAATTGTGTTGGTGTGACGGATTCATCACACAACTTGCCATGTGACTTTCAAATATATTTGGGAATGCTCAACCTGCAAGCTGAACAAAATGCAAAAACCCAATGGTCAGGACTGTACAGCACAGTTATCATTATAACTACTAGCCACAACATCTATACTTTACTATGTAGATATTAGTTGTTTATTATTTACTTTCTTTTTCAGTAATAATACTAGTAACAAGCCCTGCTTGCTTGCATTCCGTGGGAAATCCATTGGACTTTTGTTGGTCACATCCATCGGAATTCCATTGGTCTTGGTCATTTCCAGTGGACTATAGCTGATGGTTTGCTGTTAGTCCATTGGTAGTCCACTGCCAAAAATGCTGAAAA